TAATTGAGGTGTATTCTTTTCTCCAAAGTAACCAATCAATATAAAACACTGCAAAGGTTTCGGCAACGTAAATACTGTAAGTGAAACATCGATATTCACGCTTAACAGCCGGACCGAAGGCACACTATGTCCGTTTGCATTTTCCATACGGTTCCAAGCCTTCCTTTGCTCTTCTTGTGTATTTGAACATTTAGAATAAAACCACAATGTTGGCTAGCTTGGTTTTATGAGAAATGTTTGTTTTTAACTCACATTATATCATGTTTTTTATAGTATCGACAGATATATTTATAGATGATCTGATAAAACAAAATATTTTCGTAACTAGAGCATACATTGTTAAAAAACGTAAAACAATACTTATAACTGTGAAAGTAAGTTTGTTTGTTTGTTACAATAAAATTCTTTCACTATTGGAAAGTAACATTATCAGCGAGTAACATAGGGTTCTTTTTACCGCGATAACCGAGATATACGCGGGCGGAGCAGCGGGCAAAAGCTAGTCTTATATAAAGACTAAAATTTTGATCCCTAAGAAAGACTTTCACTTCTGCTTTTCTGCTTTCTCCCTCTCTTTATGTCTCTTATTTATGTATGTTCAATTAATTAATATACATTTTAATCCGTGAATCCCTTGAATGAAAATTCGGTCAAAGATAATCTATACATAGATAAATCATGTTTTCATCAGTACGTTAAACTTAACTTCCAACGATAGTTTACACTTAACAGTTACTTACGAGTAAAGCGTGTTTTACAATATAATCCTATTCTGTTTAATTGTTTAGAAAAAAGACAATTGAATTGTTTTTAATAGTCAAATTAATTATGGTGAGGTTACAATATTTCACAAAGATTTCAAATTTGGTACGAATGTTAAAGGATATGCGATCTGTTTAAAGCGGTTTAAATTTTATTCACTTTTTGCACACATACAGGCATTTGCAATTAAGTTGGTCTCAGGATTAAATCACTATTTTAACTAGACTTATTACAGTGAACTATTCTAACAATCAGAAAATCTGATTTAGGTCATACGAATTGCAACTAATATATATTAGATTGTATTATTTACCATTCCTAATGTTAATCGAAAACAGTCAGTTCACTTCACTTACAGTTAGTTCACTACATCGATCAGGTAACACAATATAAAAGTTTTAAATATCCCTCTGCAATTATCTAAATAACAGTGGCATTGTTGTACAAAGATAGCAACATTGTCTGTCGCAATCAGGGACGTTGTAAAAGTGACAAAAACGGAAATGCAATAAATAAACAAAGTGTACCCGACACTCGTAAAACTTCTTTCCATCCTGTTAGCAATATAGTTAAAACTAAGTTCGGTCTATGTAGACATACTTTAATTTAGAACAGTTGTACATCCAAGTTGATAATATGTTTAAAAACTAATATAAACTTTACGGTTAAGTAAAAGCTTGACATTCTGCGATTTAGGAAAATGATAGGGCTGGTGCTGGGCTAAGCCAGCGTAGAGGCGCTCCAGCCGGTCATTGTCGAGTGGGGAGGGCGGCAGCACGGGACCCTTTCCTTCGCAGGTCCTTTCCGGGCACGGCTGCTTTACGAAGTACTTGCACTCGGTCGCTAGGAGCGAATAGAGTCCCGCCTGTCAGCACTGCTGTTGCAGTGTGTTATTTGCCCGGCTTGGGCGCCGCAGCGCCGGGTCATCATTGCAGTCATCTCTCACTACCGGCCGTCATACGCTCCATGGCCGGTAGTGACAGATGTTTTACCGTTGTCGCATCCAGAAGGATGCGACAACGGCGAAACATCTGTCTGACGTATTCGCAGAAGCGAATACGTCATTTCGTAGAAGGAGGCAACGGAGAGGGCCCGGGAGGAGAACCTCCACTCGGATCCAATTCGTCGTTGGCAAACCAGGCGGCTGAGGCGCGCTTACCACCGAATCATGCCGCCCTGAGTGTGGCCGCGGGTGGACGGGAAGGTGGTGTCTGCGCCGTTGCGGGCAGGCGTTAGGTCCGGGGGGTCCGGATGTCTTCATAACAGCAGTTCCCGGATCCCTCCTATACATATACAGGCGAAGAGTGGCACACCGTGTGGTTTCACACGTAAAAAAAAGAGCCGCGAGGAGGTTACGTCCGCGTGCCCGACGTCGCCTAAATAGAAAATGTACCCGAAGGTGGTGCCCGCGTCCTTGCGAGTATAAGTAAAAAAAAATGGGCTATGCGGATGCTGTGCATTTGATGCAGGGCTGATCTTCGAATATGGGCATAAGCGGAGTAAAAGTAAAGGCTCGTTGTTTTTAATTCGTCTAAATCATGATACTTGTACATCAGCTGTACTCTTCATCTTTTAATCTTCTATAATTTTCCACTTTTTGTGATCTAATCTTTTTCTTTAAGTAAAAATGGAAGCAAACTTGAGTGTAACCAATAGCTTAGAAAGAATAGTAATTGAAATATGAGTATTTTAATAAATACCATTTTATTAGTTACTGTGAGCAGGAACAGTGACAGGAAAAAAAGCAATGATTTAAAGTGATTAATGCTGAAAAAGTAAAAGAATGTGTATAAAAATATTTCAGGTTACTGCTAAAGGGAAAACTGTGCTCTTGTCATTTAATTATTTCTTCTATACCCATACTTCTGTTTCCTTTTCTTGGCTGTAACAAATTACGTGCCGACGAATAAATGGGATTTTTAAGACCACATTAGCCGACTAGTTTAGGGTGTCGTCGTGGGTGAAAATACATATAAACTCCACTCAAATATATATACAAAAAAATTACATTTTACTCTAAAATTATTATATACACCCACACATAGTTAGTATTCAAGCAATTCAGGCTATTTTAGTAAAACGGCGTAGTTCAAAAAAAAGTTTCACATGAAATGATACGATGTAAATTTAGTACATGCGTACATAATTATTTACTAATGTACTTATTAATTTAAATTTTCTGTGATTGTATATGTTTCATCGTGAAAAATTGAATTTTTTTGGAAATATAATTAAGAAAGTTGCAAACAAATACGAATATGTACCTTAGTTCGGACTGCCATTCCAAAGGTCGCGCTTTTGATTCCCTATCAAGTTAAACATTTGTGTGCATGAACATTCAATTATTGATTTGGTCTAGGTGTTTCCATGTATAATATGTATGACTTTACAAAAAAGAAATAATATATGTATTTATATCAGTTGTCTAGTACCCATAATACAAGCTCTGCTTAGTTTGGTACCAGATGGCGTTGTGTGATTGTGGTACAATATTATTATATTATTAGTGTTAGTTTATAACAATTCTTTATAATGCAAGCAATGCATTTTCATTAAATACATTTTCGTGCATCATAATACAACTCGTAAACAAAACTACAGGAAAGTTTACAATGCCCGGCTTTTATAGTTGTTTAGGTGGTCACTTACTGAATTGTCACAGCGTCAAACCCCAATTAGAACAAGACATTACAGAACAATGATTATTCTTTAACACAATATTTTCACAGGATTTTTCGCTATGCAAGGAATTTGCTAGTAATTATTTTTTTAATGACTGACACGCAAAATAAATCCGTGGTTTGAAAAATTTTTGAATATAATCTTTTTGAGTGCTATTTTAATTTATCTGACTGCGCCGGAAGGATTTCCTCTTTCCAGCGCAGTCAGATAAAGTTTTCAGTTTTTCAAGTGTATGTGAGCATTTATATCTCTGTAGCGGCAAGACGAACTTTCGAATTTCGGTTTCGGTTTTTTCTTCTTTTTTACAATATTGAATACGTTATCATATACATCATACGTATTCACTTCGTATAAGGAACAAACTACTCAGGACAACAACTGCAAAGAGAAGGAAAACTTGACATACACTTTCACAAAGCTTCAATGTAGTAACCTTCGTCGGAGTTTTGTTGTCACTATGATCGCCTGTAGTTCTCCATCTGGAGAAACCATACATTGAAAGTCTGTTAAGCAATACAGTTTTAAAACTACACGCCGCAAACCCCGTCAACTAAGTCATAAATTAGTACATTATTTAGTATAAGTAGGTTTTATTAATATTATAAATATTAATACGGAGTATTACTACCCCTATATTTAGCCCGTGGGTGTCGTAAAAACCGATTAAGGGATCAAACTACGCCTGACAACAGCACTGCAAAGAGAAGGCAAACTGGGAACCCGTCTGGCCAGCGTGGTATAGTAGGCAAAAACCTCCTTTCTAAGGAGAGACCATGTCAAGCAGTGGACTATGAAAGACTATCGATGAATAAGTAATAATATGTTTATGTATGTTTTTCTAAAACTAAACAAAGTTATTAATCAGCAAACCTGACTTCATAAATGACCTAAATCTACGAATCGATAGTTAGAAAATCAATGTACACCAACAAATTTGAATACCTACTTACACAATGCATACAATTGTGACACAAATGACAAAACGTCAGATTTCTATAAAACTCCATGTCATTCTACTCAATAGCCTTTTGAGTCCGTTACGGGAATTGACATATGTTGATGACGTCACCTTTGTTGTAATTATTTTACTTATGACATGTAGTCGGTTCAGTTTCTTTACGTAGAAAATCGATTAATTAATTAACAATGTGTTGAGTAATCATTGCTAGTGAGGTACCCGATATCCGTATACGCGAGTATAATCTGCAAATATCCGCGGTCGCAAAAAATGTGTTTCCTTATGCGTTACCTTTTATGTGTCATTTAGGTTCAAGAAATGGATTTTATGTAAAAAAATATTTAAATACATGACAGTTACAAGGTACTATTTGACTATCTTTATACCAAAGCTTTCTGTAATACCTACTAAAATACGCCAAAGGTTTGTGAAATACGTACTAAAATAACTATTTATTTACTTCCCGACTATTAATCCTGTTGGCACATCACTAACCGTTAACAATGTTGTAACCAAATATATATTTTTTCTTAATATAATAAATAATTTACTAATATGGTTTAAACTTTATGTATTCCAAATTTTATAACACTTCGTGATGGAAGAAAATTCTCGTCATGGTCCAATTTAAAATGTAAATAAATATAGCCGATTACTAACAGCAATTCAATCAATTTTAGTAACAGAATTTTCTAGAAATAATATTAAGATATTGAGTTATTCACTGCTAGAAATTCTTACCATGTAATTACTGGATGACAAAGTTGTAATTGAGTAATTGAATTCGAAGTAACTCTGAGAAACCCGATTGTAAAACAATGATTGAGACCCCCAAACTGCTTTTGCCAAAAATAGGAAATATAAAAAACCAGTAAGTTAAAATTACATTGAAATAAGCGTTAAAATACCTCAAACATGTCTCGATTGAATATTATTTCGAGCCTTTCTCCCAAACTAGGTTTGGTTCGGATTTAATTTTACTACGATACGGCTAAACTACGATTTTTTTACTCAGAGCGACTGACATCAAACCTCCACAACCCAAGTACTAGGCGACATCAAAGTTCTGTAAAAAGATTATTGTCGTAATACTCAAAACAAAATAAGACTCACCTGAATTTTCTTTTTTTGCCAGTAATAGTGATTAAAATCTTTTAAAAAAGGTTATTTTAAGTTAAATTAATTAAAAGTAATGTATGATTGGCCAACATTTATTGAATAAATTTAATTTAAGAATAAAATAATAATTTTGAAGAAAAATAACTCGTTTCAAAAGTGTTTACATTTTCTTGTAAAGAGTTGAACCCAAATCTTGAACTACTATTATCTTCAAAGTTCGGAAGAGAATAATACATTTTGTTGTTTTGTCTTTTCAAGTTAAAATAAATTTAAAATATTTGACAATACAAGTTCAAAAATGTGTTATTGTCGCTACATTTTTTAAAATTAAAGTTTGGTTTTTATTAAATATTTAAATTTAGATAGAGGCGGTTTTTTTCACCAAATATTATTGTAATTAAAAACTTTACACATATCGTTTTAGCAGAATTTAAAGTAATCACTTGTAGCTTTATTATTAAAGTTAATGTAAAAGTGTTTTTGTGGCGTAATTAATATGATAGTGGAAAGCTTTGACATACAAATACGAGTATTTTTAACTAAACGAATTTTGTCATTGTTTGTTATTTGCTTAGTTACATCTTCGTTAAATATCCTACAAGTATCGGTTTTGATTCTCACTTGACATTTTATCGTTTGGATACCCAATCTTTTGAAAATTGAAAAGCCAAACAAAAAAAAAATCCTGTGTTTAAATCTTTTTTTTTTGTTGTTTAATGGAAAATTGAAAATCACAAAGTGTCACCTGTCAATATTAATATTAAGAACTCAAACCTTGCCAGATTTTTTTTGTCATCTCGGATGATACTTTCATGGTAACTAAGAAAAAAAATTAATAGTTTTTATTGACCCAACCTAATGTGCATATAGTATAAGTAAATTTGTAATAGTCTCGGGATCCGTATGCAGTACAATTTTAATCTATTTTTTTGTTCAACAGGCGGCTGTTCGGCTTTCGGACACTCTTGCTTTGGCGGCCACGGCAAAAGATCCGGCGATACTTCTATGGAGGTAAGTTCTTCCACATCAAATTTTATCGCACGCTTAGGAGAGAATGCCCTTTGCATTAAGTCTGCTGTGTACAACTTGTGCATTAAGTTAAAAATAAATAAATACTTGTTTCGACTATGAAATAGACAAGAGAATGTAAAAAAAAATTGCTCTTAATTCATAAAGAATCTTGTTTTTTTGCTTGAGTACAATTGTATACCCCACTTATAAAGTTTTTATTCGTTTTTATGTAATGAGACTTAAATTACCAGAATCTTGCGTTGCAAGGGGCAAAATTGAAGTCTCACACTAGATTTTTTTCAAATTATGCAATTTCGTCTTATTACAATAAGTAATAGTTAAACATCAGATTTGAGATCTAGTGATTGAGTAATCGAACACAAAACAATTTACTTTACTCGTGCAATTCAAATAGCTATACCGATTAAGAAATATTTTGTAATAATAGTAATTAAAATAATAATGCCTTTTTAGTCTTTGAGACTTCGCACGCTCCCTGCGTTCGGCGTACACGTCATAAGCCTCTTCCAGTGCCTTCCAATGCTTTCTATCTGGTACCATTTTTAATCCAAGGGCCGTAAGAGTATTGTATCAAGAAAGTGTTAAGATGTGATTTTTGTGTTAAGACAAAAATCACTGTTATATGATAGAATTAATGTATTCATTTAGGAAAATTAAACACATATTTCATAACTCGCCACATTTCATTTCGTTAGTAAAATTGGGAGGTTCAAAAGTCAAACAACATATTTTCAATTATAAATACTTAGCTAACACATCGTTCGTTAAAGTTTTAGCATAAGTACCAAAAACTTATGTTTGGCCGTCTATTTATCAGAAATAAATCAACTACGATGACCCAAATATTCTTAAAAATCTGTGTAGGTGAGATTCAAGTAGCCAGAGTATTATACATCACATCAGTTGTGTCTTTCTATTGCCAAAGTTGACGCCTCAGTTGAATTGCACAGTAAACACCTCGACGAACAAATGTTTTCATTTTGCGGGTGTGGAATCGTATCTTATAATCACTTTATAAAGTAAATATGTACGTATTTAGGTATTGTACACACAGTCTTGGTTATGATAATAAGCAACAACAACGGTGTCATGTCATGTCACATGATCTATTTCCCTCATAAAATCATTGTAGTAAAATTTAAACATTTTAAATTAAATTATGATTTGATCAGGACTTGACAAATACACAGAAATTTAAAAATTAAATATTTATGTCGCTACTAATGTGGTAAAATCAACTAGACTATAAATGCTGTTGACTTTCCTCTTCTAAGTACAGATTTTTTATTATCAGATCAAATTTTATGAAACGAGATTGCTTAAAAAAAAACACGTTCTATCCGAGAATAATTTTAAACACAATAAAAAAAATACTTAGTGTTTGAAATTGAATTTCACACTGAGTATTTTGAATTCTAGTGAAGAACACCATTAACGGGTAGGTAGTCGTAAAAGAGATCTGTAAAAGCATTTAATTGCGCACCAATTAGCGTTTAAAAAAGATTTTATATGTGCCAAACTGTAGAACATTAAATAAGACACTTCAACTCGTTCACCATAATAAGATTCATTCAGTGGTTTTAGAATATTGCTTGAATTTGTAAAAGTGAAGGAAAACATTTTCTTTTTTCCTTTTTAAATGCTCCTAACTATTCGGCGTTTTACATCGTCAAGGATACCATATAGAAGGACTACATAGAAAGGGAATTAGGTAGTTCCTTCAGAAAATATGCACTGTTGTTAAAATGCGTACATAACAAAATATGAAGCAAAATCTGTTTTAATTATTTTCTTTATATTAATAAATGTGGTGTCTGTATTCAAAATTCTAGTGAGGACAAAAAAATACGTATTTCAGAATACCAAGTCTTCACATACATATACTCGTAGATAGAACATACATTATATTTAATATGTAATTTATAGCTAAAGGTGCAGTAATGATGACATTGATAATTATTGAGTACATAATCAGTTATTGAATCTACAATTAGTAATGATTTTATGTGAATGTGTGTGTTTTTGTGTTTGTGTTTTGTGTGTGTAAATAATTGCAATATGTCACACTATGCTAAATGGAATTAATTAGCAAATTTTCGGTATCCTCATAATTAAGATCTTGGCGCTTCGTGAATATTGTTTGTTTGAATCTGTTTTTAGTCAGTTTGTAGACATTTAGTATTTTATTGCATAGATTTTTTCTTCTTGAAATTGACTTGAGATTTGTCCACAAGATTGTATCGTGGCGCTAATCCCGTATAATTAAATTTTATTTTGTATAGATAATCAACAGACCAACCAAACTTACAGACATAGAATTTTATAATAGTGATACACAATTATTATAAAATTGTACAATCCCTATATCTTAAAGATACTTAATACACCTATATTTAGAATAAATGCTTAAAATTTAATCCATTCAAAGCAACAGTCAAACATTTAAAAAGTTTCGGCTCACGCTATTTATTAAGATACTTTAACTACTTATAGGAAAATAATTTAGTAAGTGGCTTCACTGGCATAGTTTCGGCATATTATTATAATTAAAAGCCTGATATACTTACATTAACCACAGTAAGGTTCTTCTTATATTATGTTTGTTTTTTTGTAACCTTCACTTATTATAAGGCTGTATAAATCTTGGGAGCTAAGCACGGTAGCAATTGGAGTGCAAATGTAAAAATGTAATGTAAAAGTATTCTGTAACTGTACCTTTAGTATTTAAACAATCTATACAATAAAGGTTTCAATGCAATAGTTTTAGAATACACATTACATTACATTAAGCGACATAATTTAAGTGCTTAAAAATTAATGTAAAAACTCTCAGCAATCTAAAAAAAATATTCTGGAATAGGAAATGAAGAATAAATCGTTCGCTATATTATACATCTAGGGATGTCATTAAGCTCTAATTAATCCAGTTAATTTCTTTGTTTCAACTCTTAATAAACAAATCGGAAACATTATCGTACTGTTTATCATTACTAAAATAATCACACCACGCGGAATGAAAATCAACTCTGTTACGACCATGCATAAAAATAATTATGGCACCTATTATTACAGTGGGCTAATGTAGCAGAATATGACCACATCACCATTATGTTTATATCCAGGTGCAGTGGACTAGCGCCCTAAAACTCTCATATTTTGTAATTAATAAGTCAAGTAGCTTTTACGAAGTTAGTAAAGTTATGAGGTATGTTCGTCTTGGGGATACTTATTTAAGGATTAGTAAAAGGATTAGTAATTTGTTTTGTTCATTACAAATATTGTTTTATATCTGTTAAAGTTTCATTATAGAAGTACTTAGAATAAGTTTTAGAATTCTGAAGTATATATTTTAATGTGGATGATTGTACATAATACGTGTGTTATGTACAATCGTTCAAGGAAAGAGCCTCTTCTCCTTCCTAAAAGGCCGGCAACGCGTTTGTGACTCCATCAATCATTCATGGGCGGCGGTAGTCACTTTCCATCAGGTAACCTGTCCGCTCTTCTGCCCCCTCTTCATTAAAAAAATCTAGAAAAATGATAGGTTTCTTGAATGGCGATTGTAGCTAACAGAAATAAAACTCTTCGCAGTTATGGATTCTTTGGTAAGATGTAAAAATTAACAATTAATTAGAAAGCGCGTATCGAATCGTCATTGCATTCTGCCGTACACCCTCAAACTTGTGGACTACCACACATTAAGAAAATTGTACAGTTGTTAAAAATATGGTTTCGTTGTTTTTATAAGATTAAAAAGATATGTTGACAATAGCCATCACTGATCTTGAGCATAAACTAATGGTTGAATTCCATGTAATCAACTATAAAGATTAATAGTCGTATACTTATTTCATGGTTCCTTTGCCAACAGCTGTCGAACCAGGAGCTGGTAGCTCGCCACCAGCTCGGCCAAGAAGAGACACCACCTCACCCCGTATACCCTCATTCCGGTTACAGTGGTATTCTGTCAGCGGGTGATGACATCATACCTATTAGAGATGGAGGTGAGTAACGGTTTTTTGTGTTAGTATTTAGTACCAACTTATACTGCTGGAGTTATTCTTCTACATATGCTAGAATTGCTTCTTTGTCGCTATTGACAAGTTTCGCGTAGGTATACTCGGAGTTAACATCATCAACAGCCTCTAATAGTCTACTGTTGGACATAGGCCTCTTCTTAGATAGGAGGTTTTGGCCTACTATGCCCCGCGGGCCAGACGGCTTGTTTTAAGTTTTCCTTCTCTTTACAGTGCTGTTGTCCTGAAGAGATTCCTCCCTTGGTCGGCTCTTACGACACCCACAGGATGAATAGGGGTGATGACACACCGTATTCTTAATCCGTCACCAAACAATGTAGCTGTACCACATTGACGAAAATTAAAAAACATAACTGACTCGAGAAATAGACAAAAACCATGTTTGAAGATTAAAGTCTTTAGAAATAGGGTTTTGGTTCGATTTTCAAACTCCTAATGTCTTCAAAAATTACTAGATCTACACCGGATCGTTGTTTTCAACTCTACACGCCTTATTGCAGTCATTTCTAATAGTCACATACTTGTCGAAGTTAGTTTGAGTAGGTCGACGCTTGTATCTTGTCTTGGCCGCCTCTACCTTTTTCGACATGATGGCTCGTATTTCATCGGTGAGCCATGGAGCAGGCAAATACTTTAGATCTCTTCTCTTACTTCTCTTTTCTTACCAATTTATGAAATAAAATTAGGTTGTGCTTACTAACCGATTTCATTTCATTTGACGGTTAGAACCTTATTTCTTTACCAAAAATACAAACATTTTAATGAACTTGTTCTACTCGTATCACTTTTTTTTAAGAAATAGGCGTATGAATAATAATTATTTTGAAATTTAATTTTACCATCTAATTTCAAACTAAGCAGATCTTGTACTATGAAAGCTAGATTGACTAATAGAATACTTAGATACTTTTTTTTTGTGAATACACACATATTATACATAGAAAACACCCAAACCCCGAAACAAATATTTGTAGATCATACAAACATTTGATCGAACCCGAGACCTCAGCACAACAGTCGTATACGCTACTACTGCGCCACCGAGGCAGTTAGGCAGTCAAAAACAAAACTAGTCTATATACCTACTTATACATATCATGAAATGTCACTAACATGGGAATATAAATTCTTCTGCACGAGTTACTGAGTAACGGATGTCAAATCAAAACCATAATGAACGAAGTTTATAACGAGCAGCTTACAGACATAGCATGAGAGCTAGTGGCTTCTTTACCAACTTATATAAATCGTTTAACCAATGAAACTATAATATTAAATTTATTTATATGATATTGTACAGTACATAATAAATAAAGTAATCTGATCTGAAAGATAATCTAAATTTTAATTAAACAGAAAAATGACTAAAACGATGAAAAATATATATATATATATATATATATATATATATTAATATATATATATGTAAATGTTTAAAACGATGAAATATATATATGTAAGTTTAACATTTACATTCTTACATTTTTATACATTAGAATACCGTCTACCGTAATTGGAACAAACCTTCAATTCGGCTGCTTTTAAGTACATATGCTGTAAAGATACATGCTCATATTTCGTACATTACAATATTCGTTACAGTGTTGTTGTAAAGGTTAACACTTAACCATGTACTTTGCAGTACATGAAGTAGAGTTCATTTCCAGCAGAGTTCAAGTTAGAAAGAAATAAAACGTTAGAAAAAAAATCTTATGTTATCTTTGTGTTTTGTTATCTTCTAATAAATTATGTAAATATTCAAAGGCCAATCACGAAGAAAATCATACAAAAAATGAGCTTAATTTACATGTTGTTTTTGTTTAAAAGAATATACAAAAATATTTTGTTATGCATGGAGAATTGTTTTCAAGATTGATCAAAGGACCTAAGGCTGATAACAGCACTATATAAAATATCTTTTAATTTTAAAACTAAAGTCGTAAACTAATAAACGTGAGCTCTAGTTGGTGAACGTGGAATTTAATTATTATATGGCATATTGGCTGTCGTTTACTGTCTAGTTATGTCTAAATAGTGATTATGAGTATGCTTGTATAGCATTTTCACCCACGAGACTGGATTTAGTAATCTGACCACCCTTTGTGCGTTACATATATGCAATTTTGAATGTCTGATATTGTAAAAATGACCGACAAATTAAGTAAGTTAAGTAAGTCTTGAACACAATCTTGCCACAATTTGTAAATAGTCATAGGAAATTCTTTGAGGATATAGCATTTTTTAAAAACGAGGCTAGACTATATCTCAACAGCTACTAGATAAATTCCTATACTGCATTCTAAAGACGAGGCATGAGTATTGCAGGTAATAATATAACATTCTATAAAATTCCGTCAGCACCTAAACTATATTGAAAACTATCACAGACAAGACGTAAGGTTATATATAATAATGCTAACAAACTAACAAGTTACACAGAGCCTACTATACTATACTCCAGACTACTATACTCGGGACTGATCATTGTCAGGTATAGTAGGAACGTTTCAATTGCCTATAAAATAAATTTGAGGGTCTTGTACGCATTGAACCTTTTTCCATTAGTATTATTAAAACATTTTGAGCATATGGAAATATGTGGATTTATATATAATATTTTTAAACTATTTCTATCCATTCTAATACCATGGATGGCATTGATACAAGACGTAAATGATCTTGTACTTCAAGTTTTGCGATTAAGTGGAAATTAGAAAAAAAATACTAAATACTTTCACCATGTCTGAATATGACTTGAACATAAAGAAAGAGTCCATACTTATGAAACTGATAGAAATTACCTCTAGGTTTTATCAATTTAATTACAACTTAAGAAAGTGTGTTAAAAACTCAATAACAATAAATCTATCAAAGCTAATGGCGGCTTTTTATGCCTAACTACATTTTATTACGTACCCTACAATCAACCTCTGATCTCAAAAGGCTTACAAAACATGCAATTGTGCCGGTTTTACGCCCTTTCGTTCGTAATACCTCAGGTATTGATATGCCGAAGAGCCAAGGAATGTTAAACTCTTTGAAATTTTGTGGTAACTTTTCTTTTTAAGATAAACGGTTTTGCTCACTATTGTATTCCGAGGATACTCCAAAGGTTTCGGACCTGTCAAGGGATTTTTTCTAGAATTCATGAGCGTAATGAGTACGCGTACGTACAAAATCACTTTTTGATCGTACTATCAAAAAAGTGATTTTGTAAGCTGAAATACATAAGATGTGTTACATGTATTTTTTTTAAATAATTCACATCATCGTCATCCTTAAATAGTCCACTGCTGGGAGTAGGTCTCTCTTTAGAAAGGAGGTTTTGGCCTAATATACCACGCTGGCCAGACGGGTTGATATAGGGTTTGTTTCAAGTTTTGTACTGTTGTTCTGCGTAGTTGGTACTGTAATTATCTCTCTTAGTCGACTCTTACGACACCCTCGGCATGAACAGGGGTGACGACACTCCATGTATCCGTCAGCACACGGATTGTGTAGGGTGTATTTATAATATATACATATAGAAATACACAAGGTGTGTTTATCGGCAGTCTGGTTGCCATAGCACAGGCTCTGCCTAATTTACGATCATACTGTCATGTGTGAGATGCGTGGAGTTATTGTTGTTGTAATTAAATATTCCGCATACCTCGGTAATGTCAAAGCGCGTTGACCATAGACATCCTATATCTAAACCGCACCTTCGTCTCGTAGTCGTCAACTCAGAAAATGTATTTCACTTTTATGTTTCACGTTTCGGGCTTTCGTTTAAAAATTAGCGAGCTGAAATCTTATAATGCTAGGTTTTTTTGTAGCTTCAAGCTAAGACTTCTTCTTATTGTTATTCTTAGATTTTTTGTTAGATAGATATATAGATAGTACTTTATTTGTACAAAGGGCGGCCTTATCGCTTAGAGCAATTTCTTTCAGTCAACCTTTGGATGGACTGGATTTGAACTGGTGATAGGTATACATAAATCAGTAATAAGTGAGATCTTAACCTATGACATATTTATCATACATAAATCCTACTAATCTATATTTAAACATTATTACTATAAGTACATAAATACGTTAATATATACATACACAAATTTTCAACTATGAAACACAGATTTTTAAGTTGTGATCCTATTTAAGCTAAGGTACGATATTATAAATGTTACACAATTATATATCTATACTTCTTCCTTTCTTCCTCCGAGCCTTTTGCCCAAACTAGGCTGGGGTCGGCTTTAAGTCTACTAAGATACGGCTGAACTTCGATATTACATGTTCTCTATGCACTGCCCTGGCTAGGATTGCTTAACTTTGCAGTGAGTTAGCCTACTAGGTTATCACTTAGCCACGAGCCATTAAAATATTCACACCATTAAAATATCCACACTATTAAAATATCCACACCACTAATACTATATGGAAGCGTTATCGACTACTAGGCAGTCACACATAAAAACAAATCCACCACTACATATTAAATTGTTTGCCTTGACTGAGTGATTCATCAACGCAGAGCCTAAACCGATGGGATTATAAACTTGAAATATTGGCAGCTGGTGCTTTTTATGTTAAAAGCACTCACTAAGAAAGGATTTTCGGAACCCCCCCCCCCCCTTAGGGGGTTAAATAAAGGATGAACGGTTGTATGGCAATTCGTCATTTTCAAAGTTAGAAACACAAAATAAAAATTAATCCCACGAGCGAAGCTGTAGGCAATACCTATTACTTACATATAAATGAAGTATTTTACATAATTATTAAATTGTCCGCAGGTGTATATGATCGAGAGGACCCTAACAAGGACGCCATGAAGATGAAACTTCGGAACATCTTCAAACACTGGGTGAGAATTATTTAGCAGTAATTAAGATCACGACTGACCTTAGTAGCTGTATGAATGTTTTAGTTGTGTTGTCCTATTTTATGTCACAGTCACCAGGTCACTATGAATTTGACAGATTCATAACATCACATCAATGTTTGTAAATACGTCATATTAAATACTATCACAGCTTGCTTTTGACCGTTGGTTTGAAATATACAGAAAAAATAAGTTTTAAGAAGATACCTCACGTATTTGGGTAGTATTAAAACCTAGTGCAAATCTTGCATACAACGTGATGTGACGACGATGTGATGACGTCATACACGATAAAAGAAGCACATCCATGCTCTTATTACAAACGTGAAAGTGAGTTTGAAAAATTCTTTCACCAATGGAAAGCTATATTATCAGCGAGTAACATAGGCAATTTTTTACCCACATAAACTCGGGTGGAGCCGTGGGCAAATGCTAGTAACATACATAATACACAAGTACACGTACAAGCTGTTTTAAAAGACGTTCTCAAAGGTGGCTGAAATAAAAACATTTTACAGCCAGCCTTTACGTCGTTCAATTGTCTAGGATAGGTTAGAGATTTCTAAGACCTTTCTTAAATATATATTGATACTGGTTTATAGGAACGCGGTTTTTTAGAGAATGATAGTTACTACAGAAAAAACTTTTAAATTTCAAGACGCAATATATTTTATAAATATGTAGTCGTAGATGGACCTGCAACCGCCTACATTAAGCGCTAATGTCTGGTTCAATCAGATTAATATTTAATCTTGACTCGGTTGTTAAAAAAATATGTTAAGAAAATAATTCTTTAAACCCGGGGAAAGGCGGGGGTGCAAA